TGGTGGGGAGTGGCAACGGTATGGACAACTGGAATATCAGGGTTGCTCAACACCAAAGCGGGGGGGAGGGCACAGAAAGGGGAGGACAGCCACAGCTGGGCCTACGTCCTGGTGAGCAAAGGGGGCAGGGGGAGCTCTGATTTTCTATTATAAAAAACCCAAAATCAAGTGCCAAAACATAGAGCTATTTAAAATTTATTTTCTCATAGTGATTGAGACACAGGTAGGTTTCCCAATTGCTTTAACATTGTAAATGTATCAATAAAACTTTGCATTTAACTGATACACACACACAAACACATATACACACACACACACACACACACACACACACAGTGGCATTTCATTTTAATCACGGAAAAACACATATTTGGGGTTTTTAAATCATAGAATGTGCGATTTTATCAGAGAATTTACAATTTTTAAACAGAGAAAACTAGGATCCCTGTAAATTATCACCAATTACTTAAGATCCACACAAATTTACACTGTAGACCGCATCTATGAATGAGCTTCTCCCTGATTATTGAATCATCAAATAGGATAATGCTTACCTCACACGCACATAAACCACAAATAACACAGTTAAGCTTAATGGCTTTACATGGGCATTTAAGTAAAAGTAAAACAGGGCACAATTTATCCTACATCTAAACCAGCCTTAAGGCTTTATTAAGATTAATAATGATAAAGTGGATAATTTTCCACTTGCTATACCAAGCATGTCTGATAAAAAGAATCTAAACGGCTAAATGAAACAAATAATTTGATATAACAAAGAAAAATGACTCATGGGATTTGGAATCAGTCTCCTAAACTGAATAAAACTATGGCATTTTACTACTACATTTGTTTTGCATGAGACTCTTGGCAATTTTGTAACAATAGAGGACCATTACCCTGTGACAATACTCTATTAATTTATCATTATTTGGCTTCATTTCTTTTCCACTTCACTCTAGTGCTCAAAAGGAGTGATAGGAAGAACTAAGGAGTTCTGTTTACCATCCCCTTCTAAAAAGGTTTGGCACAAAGAACTGCAGTACAGCAATGCTTCAGTTCACCATACCTCTCAATCCATCAAATCCTAAAAGTAGGACAGAAAAAAAAATTCTTCAAAAACAAAACAAACAACTCTCCAAAAAGTTTTCATTGCTTTTTTGTCATGAATCTTCAATAACAGAGCTGCAATAATACTGTATTTGTGTATGATATATGCCATTGTGGGACCAAAATAAGGGACAGTGGGGAAGTCTGTATCCTAATATATGAGACTTCACTCTGATCTACAGGGAGCCTCTTGTTGAGTCGCTATGTCCACTCAGTACCTGGTCGCTCTACTGTCTAATAAGATTAACTTGAGATGGTGAATTTTCTACTGTGCCAAGCTGATTTCTTCAGTTTTTTATTATGTATGTCAAACAGAGATAACTATTTTTCCAAAACCTTTGAATCGCTTCATTATCTGCAGTGGTTAAACCCAGAGCATAAAACCTTAAGGTTTCAGAAAATCCACTGCCTGCATATCTTATAGATTGTCCAACCAATGCTACAGGCCAAGAGGAAAAAAAACAGCTGGGGAAACCTTTAAAAACTATAGATCTTAGCAATATGTTTGAAATAGAGCAGTGGTGTCAAACATATAGCCCACAAGCTGGATCGAGCCCACAGAGCCACTCTATTTGGCCCACTGGTGTGGCCAGAGAGGGAGCAGCCTGATGCAGAATCTGGGGCCCTTGGGTCCTAGTGGACATGGCAATTAGCAGCAGGAGGGCAGGCAAGGTCACTTCGCCCATCTGAACTGATGCAACCCTGCCTCCCTAAATGCTGGTCCTTGCTGCATGCCCCATACTGGATCTGGACCTGGAGCTGCAGGATAGGGCACAAGGTGGCAACAGCTCCAGACATGGCACGGGGTGAAGGCTAGAGCTGCTGCCATGTGCTCCAGGTTGAGCTGAAGCTGCTACTGCTACCATTGCCACTGCATGCTCTGAGTCAGAGCCAGAGGTACCTTCTCCATGTGCCCGGTGCCACAGCAGCTACTTCAACTCAAGCTCCAGCATTGGGCACGCGTGGCAGAAGCTAGAGTTGCTACGACATGTCCTGGGTCAGAGCTAGAGCTACCATCTCCACCGCATGCTCCTGTTCAGAGCTGAAGCTGCTGCCACTGCGGCTTCCTCATGTCCCAGGCCTGGATCCAGCCTACAAGGAGCCCCACAGTTCATATCTTGCCCAGCGCACAAGATGAGTTTGATACCCCTAGAAGAGGGTATTTTAATCCTCTAGGTGGCCTCCCCATCTGTCTGCTCTTGTGTCCTCTGTTCACATATGTATAAGAAAACCTTTTAAAAGGCATGTACAGACAGAGTTTTAGTGATTCAAGGTGCTTGGCTTTGTGGCAGGTCTCCCAAGGAACTTGTCTCACCTAGTATGTGATCTCTGACATATTTCAGTATTTGATGCAGCTGAGCCATCCTGTCATAGTGTCACAACAGAAAGGATTCTATACCACAATGCATCACTGGAGAAAGGCACTTCAGGAGGAGAGGAACATGACAATGAAATCCTAGCAAAGAATCAAAACATTACAGAGAATTGCTGGGTTTGATTACTTACCTAAGAATGTCTTTTCCTCTTTTGTAACAAGATGTTTTGGTAATACGATAAAGAGACTTCTACATCTAAATCCCCAATTCAATTCCAAGAAAAATAAACTGCCCCCCTTTGCTACCCACAGGAGGATAAGATCCACTGGTCCTTACTTTATTCAGTGTTCAAGAAGCTAAGAGCTCTGCAAGCCATTATCAAAATACCTTACCACAGAGCAGGAGCAACCTCACTTAGCCAAACTTATATCTCTCTGCAAGAGAAGAAGAGAGAAAAGTCTGGTCCATTCAAAACTCTACTGCTACAATATTTATTATTGTCTGCTATGAGCCGATGACTATGCCAGCTAGCCCTTCAAAATGCTTTACCAACTAATTTCCATGGTCTCCTGTTCTTGCTTTCAAAATAGTTCACAGTTCTGCTCCTCTATCTACCTGCTTGTCTCTTACCTCATAGCCCTCCTCACCCTCCCAGTTCTTTGTCTGCTTCTACCTCAGCTGTCTCCTTGCCTTCATCCATCCAGGCTATCCTAATACGTAAAACACACTAATAAACTTATCATGAATTGGTGAGCAACATTGTTTCCTTCAAATCCCTTATCAAGACTCATCATTTTTAAGGCTTTTATTAACTGTCTAATTATGCATATGCTGAGATATTTGTGTCATTTTATATAAAAACACTGTGTATAATATACATTATACCCAACAACAGATAGATGCACACATACACACAAAGCATGTATGTCAAATTTTCACACAAATTTACTAAATAATTCTATCAATGGTCTTGCATTCAAATGTTAACATTCTCTCATACAAGGTAGTGAGACAGTTTCAGGAGTGGTTTGAGAGAGACTGAATGCTCATGACTACATTCAAACTAGATTTACTGTCATTCAAGATGACAAAAGCATTTAGTCTGGGAGCTCCATCTACATCAGCTAGAACCTTTCCCAGAGTCATCAGCAGAGATGCAAGTGATGATGGATCATGTAGTTTACAAAAAGCCTGGAGGCTTTTTGCCCAATAAATACAGATCAGACGTCTCACTCTAATCAGTACAATATTTTGAAAGAAGTTTGGGAATAATGAGAAATAATATGGAAGATTAATTTATTAAACCCCACTGTAAGTTTAAATTTATTAAATTATATGACCCTGACTGGTGAAATTAAATTTCTCAATGTAGCCAAATTTTATTAGAATTCCAGAAAAAATAGTTTCTATACATTTATTCAGTGAGATGTAACTGCTAAACAACAGTTAGATACCTGTATGAGAACTAGAATTATTTTACAAGGGGTTTTTTAAATACCTCAGCTATATTGCTAAACAAACCTAGACTCCTGTATCTATTTTCTATAAACAAGGAAAACAACTACAGAGATTTTTTTTTCCATTTTAGGAACAAGAGAAGAAGCTGATCCTGCCAACCCAATCTAAATCTGGACCTGTTGTTTGAGTTCTCATAACAAATGTTGGAGGGACTGAAAAAAAATCCTCAGAGATCTAATGGACTGCAGCAGGACTCTCCTGGTCATACCTACCACACGTTTAACCTCTGTTTTGCTTTTTTCTCTCTGTGAACAAAATGGAGATAAAATTCCACCCTGCTACATGCAAATCTCTCTCTCTTTTCCTCGATGAACATATACAAAATCCAATAATATTCTCTCTCAGTGGAACCCAAGAAGCCATTGCATCTAATTGAAAGCAATACTAAATTAACTGTCAAGCACAGTCTGAGGAGGAAGCTTTTTACAAGGTGAGATGCCACCTGCCCAAAGAGTGAGAGACTACAGGTTCTAAACCCTACTCCAAAGAAGATTTAAACCCATACCTCCCTCTTCCCCAGAGAGTGCCCTAACCATCGGGATTTGGGCTAGACAGGGCTGTGAGACTCCTTCATACCTCCTCCTAAAGCCTGACTCCCTGACAAACCAAGAGTGAGATTCTTAGGTCCATAAGAACAAGCAAGAGGGAGCCTGTAAACCAGTGGGGAGGGCACAACCCTGGGATTCCCTGCTCCCAATGCTCTTCATACATTTATTTTAAAACAGTCATAAACTGTTAAAGACAAACAATAAATATTAATTTAGGACTCCCGAGTTTAGTGAGGCACCTAGACAGATTTTTAGAGCTATGGCACCTTTGACAGTCCATCAGCAGGACACAGATGCACAAAAGATATTTAACTGCTTAACTCTCACTAAAAATCAATGGAAATTCCTCTAGATATTCTTGGGAGTCAGGCACCAGCATGCTTTTGGGGATTTGGACCTAGTGTCTAAAGATGGGAACCCAAAAATTTTGCCCTCTAAAATCTTATGTTTTTCTTCCCTCTCTTTCTTATTCCAAACAGCTCCAGGAGTTTGATCAAGCAAGTGGAAAGGGCATTCTATTTTTCGCTCCATTAAACATAAGGAAATGTGTTTGGTATAATCAGTGTTGTTTATTGACCATAATCTTAATACCATAAACTCATATAATTAAATACATAAGCAAACTGTATTGTATACTTACCAGTTTCTTCTTATTCAAGTCTTAAAACACCTACTCCCAACTTTCATCACATTACGTGTGTAAATCGTGTATCCTGCATTTTTACTCCAACAGGGTTTTTTCACTTAAGTGCTGACGATGCATGTTGTATTTGACTGTTACTCTACCATAGCTGTCTTTACCTGGAAGGAGGTTAGCTATAACAGCTTCTATAAGATGTGATCTGCAAGACTTATCTTGTTGCAGACCAGGTAGACAAACAGCTAAATCTCATATGAGGTACAGATGCAAATAGTCTCATTCTGTTCCCCCCGTCCCCCAAGTGCTTTACTAGGACTACCCTTGTGAGTAATGCATACAAGACTTGTCCCAACCCAAGATCTTCCAAGCTTAGTTACTAGAGCTTTAAATCCAGTGATGAAGGATATGCCACTGGCTTTGTGTAAAAATCGGTCATTAACCAAATGCAACAGCTTAGTGCCAAATTCTGGCCATGTTACTCATGCAAGCAACAGCTTTAGAGGGTAACTAATTTAAATAAGATGAACAAAATTATTTCCCTATTTTTAACACTATAGCCTTTTCAGTGGGAACACAAGCTGTTCTTATAATGTAGGATTAAAAGAAGTTCACAGAAGCTCATAGGTGAAAACCTAGCCCTGATTACATCAATAGAAAAAAAATCCCACTGGCTTCAATGGGGTTAGAATTTCAACCCATATCACTAACTAAAAGTCATTAGCTCAATAAAACAAATTAGGCTCTAGTCCTATGAAACTTTACCTATGTTCTAACTTCACACACTGTGGATGGTCCAAAAGTCCATGCAGAAATTTTGGCTGCATTTGAAGTTAACCCCCTTTTAAAGAACAAGTCTTAGTTTATAAAAATAAGTTCAGGAATTCAGATGGCAATGAAGAAATCCAAACACCACAGGAACTACCTCATTTTAAAACATAAGGTATTTACTTCTCTTATGCATTTACGTTACATCCTTAAAATACCTTCCAATAGCTCAAAGAGTGTAGCAAGGTTGAAGAATGGCTTTTTACTTACTTTTGTTTGATCATCAGCTCTGAATACATAGCAGATGCTCTGCTGTTTTACTGATTTATCCTTTATCAGACAAGCAAAGTAACTTGGATCATGGCTGTTATGAATCAGTTTAAGGACTTGTTGGGGCTTATATTCGAACAGACTGGAACAAATCAAAGGATCCCACTGTTGGGTTTTGCCTGAGTCTAGTTCACATCGTAGTCTTACTGGTGAAACATAAAGCCGGATTTGGCTGACATTAGGTTCTCCCTTAGTAGACTGCACACTTAGTCTCCGGATCTCTGCCACAATCCAAGGAAGCATTGCCATGGTGGTTAGAGTGTGCACAGGCAAAGAACCAACAAGTTGGAGGCTGAAATCCACCGAAATATCACTGGATGCTGGAAGTTTTTTAACTTTGAATGTTATAGGCTCCATGTTGTAATCAGTAAAGGTCCCAGGAATCATTCACTGATGTTTCCACTCCATGGAATGAAGATATTTGGACAGTGCCTTCAGCTATCGAGTAGAGGAATTCTAAAAGGAAAAGTTCATAGAGTTACTGTAGCAATCATTTAGAATAGTTTCTTTATACATTATGATCACCATTACTGGAAATATTCACAGATTTTAAGAAAAAACTGAGATAATCTTGTTTGAGCTCTTGCATAACATGGGCCAAAGGACTTCCTGGAACAAAGTACCACTCAGGTTCCAATAACTGTGGCTGAACCAGAACAAAATCATTTAAGAAGACAACCAACTTTGATTTAAATATTACTATTAAAATTGACTAAGTTGATACTACTGAATTCCACTGGTTAGCTGCCTTATTGTTAAAAACTATACTTTACTTCTCTTACTACATAGCATATTTTGACCCTTCCTTTAAATATTTTTGTGATTTTTCTACAAGGTGGACAGGTTTTTAATCTGTTAACTGAGGAAGCATTTGCCATGAACCTGATAATCCTGGGGTTTGACCTTGATCAAAACAGGAACAGCAGTCATTTACATACTTAGCCCTTCCATGTTGCATTTCTGCTCCTCCACCAGTAGGTGATCAGGGAGGTCACACCCTGGCCGGATTGTCCCTGAAATGACCCATAACCTTACAGACACAGTGCAATGTCCCAGAAAAATAGCAGTAGCACATCTTGTCCTGCATACTTCGGCAGGACTTAAAGAGGGACAGTACATTTACAACCACAATTACCTAAGTGAACCCATTAAAAAAAATACAGCAGCAATGCTAGCTTTCTTCCAGACTTTCCAGTCTTCTGTCATTTCCCCAGTCTTCCAAGACTAAAAAGCTACACCATGAATCCAGAGTACTCTCCCTCCTGTAACACTTCATTTGAACAGACATGTTAAAATATACTACTGCTAATGATAACTTACCCTAGTGCATTCATTGCTTTATGTATTATGGCTACAGCAAAGTTTGTTTCTTTGTGCAGCTGATTGAAAAAAAAAACAACAAACCCACACTTTTTTGTGCAAATTTTCCATACATTTGTCCTGTATTTTTCCATTAAAACAAACCAATTAGAAAAGCTTCTATCAGTTTGTAACCACCTGAAAAATGGAGTGAATATTTCAAGATTTGGGGGAAGGAAGGTGAATTTTTTTTTTTTTAAACAATAAGCAAGAAAAAAAAAGAGAGAGAGTGAGAACAATTATTTTTGGGATGGGGACACTTTATAATACTTTGAAAACATCCAAGAACACTTTACAAGCATCCAAAAAACATAGTCCTGTACCCACTTTACAGGAAGAAAAACAAGATCTGGACAGCTACAAGTGTTGAACCTTTTACAGCTTTTGCATTTAAAACTTCTGGATACTACAGACAGATGAACATCTTTTAATAGTTTTACTGTAACCAGTTCTAGGACTGGAGAGCTTACCAAGAGAATCCTATGGTTTAGGCCTACAAAAAAAATACAGCAACCTGAATTTGCTAATAACCTAGAACAGTGGTGCCCAACCTTTTCTCCCTGAGGGCCAGATGGGCAGTGCCAGGTCCAGCCGCAGGCAGCACACGGGGCTGGCGGAAGAACCTTATCCTGCCACAGGGGACTGTGCAGCCTGACCCTGATCCATCTGCTGCGAAGACAGGGAACAGTCCAGTCCTGATCCAGATGCATAGGGGGCGGGGAGGGAAGAGGGGGAAGGGAGGGCTCTGATCTGGATACACAGAGAAGAGTGGAGCAGCCCTTATCTGGACCCTTGGGAGATAGTGGGAGCAGGGCAGAGTAGCACCGTTCTGGACAGGGGCAGGAAGGAGCAGCCCAACCCCAATCCAGATTGCAGGGAAGGGGTGGGTAGGGGAATGGAGTGGCCTGTATCCAGATGCAGGGAGGGGGCAGGGAGTAGCCTGGTCAGATTTTGACATGTGTGGTAAGCCTGGCCCTGATCCTGCTGCACAGCAATGACCCAGGCAAGGCTATGGAGAGCTTCCCACTCCGCAGCTGTTAATTTTTTCTGACCCGTGGAGATCCCTGTAGGCCAGATATCATAGCTCCATGGAACAGATTTGGCCCATGGGTCAGAGGTTGAGCACGCTTGGCCTAGAAGTCAACACCCTTCCTACCTTCCGCACACCTCAAAAAAGTGAAATTCTCATTTAGTTCTCATTTAAATTACATTAAAACACTACAGATTTTGCAGAAGACTTTCATGGACAGACAGTGAAGGAGAACAGTCCAGAAAGCCCTCCTTTATAAGGTGCACTTGTACAGCAGAAGACCTCAGCTTCAGAAAGCATCTACTGTATGCATTTTCCTCACCAATACGAAGTTCAGTAGGAGCCTTATCACTGTGGTCTTGTAAAGGCTTCTCTCAAAAGACAGAGAGAAAACCAATAGGGAATTGAAGCTGTCTCTTATCTGCTTGAGTCACTAATGTGAAACTTTTTTTTTTGTTTTTGTTAACAGTGAAAATGCAAGTGCCGAGGTGGTTTTGATTCATTCAGCACTCTAGGAGGCAAGATTCAAAAAGCATGAAAATGGAGTTTACCAACTATAGCTTTGTTACCTACTGGCAACCATGATCTCAGCATAATAGGGGTATGTGAAGTCTGTTCTCAGCTGAAATCAATATGGTTAATGTGTGCAACAGGGCAAAATTAGCCCAGTGTTTCCACTCAACCAATTTGATTTGTCAGCACACCACTGCATTTGTGTGACAAAAAAAAAATCTCTAGAGAAATCTGCAGTTTCTCTTTTCATAAAAGCTGTTAAATGTGTAATTTTCATGGGAAATCTGTATACAGAAATCTGCAAAACATCTTTTAAAGTCCATTTTTTATCATCACTTTCAATGAAATAAAAACACACAAAAAAGATACTCTGACAAATAATACTGACCAGAACAAAAATCATCCTCATTGAAATACAAAATGAGACATGAGTATCTTAAATTTAAGCAGCCTGGACACTGATCCTGTGACCAGAGTTCAGGATTTCCTCTAAATCAAATTTAGTAGATTGAACAGAACAAAATTCTTAAATATCTTTACACTGGTAGAGCCATTCATGTAATGGCTTTTATATTTGGATGTAAAGAAACAATAAATTAAACTGAAAATCAATGACATCATGAAAAGAATATGAGAATCAATAATACAATCTGTAGAAATTCTGCACATTTGCATTTTAAAAATGTTATCTTCCAAAAGTCCAGAAAACCAGTAGATACCTACATAAACCTGCAGAAGGCCGTGAATTTCTAAACTGTAACAAACAGGACCAATGCGATTACCTCTAGTTACACTCTACTGTACTCTATGATCCTAATACCATAAAACAGGGCTGTCCAACTTCTAAGCAACTGAGGGCTGCAGCACCCCCAGTCACACACAACCCAGGCGAGTGCTGCATGGCTCTCACACGGCAGCACGTGACCTTTAACCCCACATCACACTGTATGGAGCTGCTGACATGCCGTGCAAGTC